AACTGATACAATAACATCACCACTTTGATATACAAGATTAATGCAATGGCCGACAACAAATGTAGAAGATGGGTGATGAAATGTTCTACCTGTCTCATGAAAGAGAGGTGACAAACTCAAGGTGCAGAAGGAAAAAAATTTTCAGATCTTGTCAATGTGGGGATGTGTTTTGCTTGACTATGCATATTTGATTTTTGTTTTTCTTAATTTCAATTTGGGTAAGGAGAGGAGATGCAATAGGGTTACAAAATTTTTTTTTAAAAGAAGAGTAAGAAAAGAGAGTATTTAGAGTATTTTTAAAATGCACAAAAGAGAAAAGAAGGAATGTCAACAGGACAAGCAGAACAATTTTGAAAATAACATGTTGACATGATTCCAGAGGATTGGTAATGAAGAATGAAACACATATTTTTGGACATGGACAACATGAGAATTTGTTTTGTTGACTATGAATATGGTACAAGGATTTTTTCTTCTTTTTTTTTCCCAAGTGGGAAGGAGAAAGGTGAGGTGGAAGAAAAAAATAAATGCTCAATAATTTTTAAAAAATAAAATTTAACATAAAAAAATAAATAACATGTTGAATTTGTTGCAGAGCTGGAGAGAGATGCAAGCTATGGATGATGCAGATTTGCAGCTACATATGTAATCCTCTTTCTGTTTTTCTTCATATGTGGAAATAGTCATCTTATCTGGTATTTGCTAAGTTCAGAATTTAAATAAAGTTTGAACCAAAACAAAACCAAAAAATATTCAATCATCTTATAGGGACAGGGAATGGACCTGTGATTTCACTGGTAAAGGAAATTTCTAGGATGGGAAACTGTATCTACTACTGATGCAAGTCAACCCCTTCCCTGCAACTTCTAGTCTTGGCAAGTGGTCTACAGTTTTAAATAGAAACAGGGGCCACTATATGGTACATAAAGATCCCTGAGGGCTGCATATTGACTTAGTTTTAAAATGCAATGTTATCTATGCTTTACTGTATTTTTTTTTTTAGTTAAAATATTTCCCAATTACCTTTTCATCTGGTTCAAGAGCACTTGGGAGTAATTGCTGCCCATCCTTATGTGTGACACCTCTGGTCTCTAGCACTGAGAAATTAAATGACTTGCCCAAGGTAACAAAGTCAGGATGCATAGGAGCCAAGAGGCAGGATTTGAACCTAGGTCTTCCCAGTTTTGAGGATAGCTCTCAATCCATTACACTGTGCTGCCTCATAGAAGCAAAAATATTTTCTATAAATGTGGAATAAATGGTTTGGAAGAAACCGATGTCCAAGGAACAAATACTGAGGGGGGAAAACGAATGATGCGATGAGGCCAGAGTTTATTATAAAGAAATAAAGTAAAATAAAAGAATTTTGCTGACAAACTTTCAGTGTTCAGAAAACACTGGAAAGACTTGGTAACCAAATAGAAAAACTTAAATATGGGATATCTTGGCTGAAGATAAAGTTGGACAGGAAGGTACAACAAAGGCACAAGTTTACAAATATATGGGTGGAAGATGCCACAAGAAATCAAGATACTCATATTTTAGATATAAAGATAATGAAACAAGCCACTAGCTTGATTAAAAACAACAACAACAACAACAACAAAACAAAACAAGAGCACTGGCCCTGAAGTCAGGAGGACCTTAATTCAGATAACAAAAGAGTGATGAACCCAGAAGCAGTAAAGGTTACCTAGAACCTCAGCACTGGAGTAAAGGAACACTCACAGAGCTTATAAAAACTGATAGTTATACCCTCAACCAAGTACAGACATAGAAAGGTCACAAAATAAGAACCACGCAACCTATAAATGGGCTCAATTGTAATGCTGTAAGAGAAACAAAATAAATGGTTACTCATCCAGTTGATGGAATTCATTGTTGAATTATACATAATGTTGCTTTCTATTTTGTGTTGTATGTATGCAGTGGTAAGCATATATTATCATATTTACCTATTATTATTGCTAGTATTGTATTAATTTTCCCCCCTACTTGAAGCACCCTGTCAAGTGGTGCTTTTCATCATATGTATGTTGTATATAATATAAATGTGTATTTGATATGCCTCAAATAATTTATAGGGACTAAAAATTTTTTGTCTTGGGGAGAAACATAACACCAACCTGAAAAGCTTCTTCCAGAGACAGCTGATACTGTTGCCATATCTTTAAAAGGCAATGGAATTTTAGATAGTTACAGTAATTAACTATGAAAAGACCATGAAGAGCCAGAATTTAATTGTTTCTTTGGAGAGACCTTTTAACTGGGATGGCTATGGAAAGGTCAAAGAAAAAAGACTAAGAGAACTTACTTCCTGAGAAAAAACATGAAAAGAATTTTTTTTGTGTGTGTGAAAAGCCTTTAATTGGTATCCTGAGAGAACTGAATGGTAGGGCTATGTTCCTAGAATTGAAAAGTTGGCAATTGTAATGCTGGTTAAAAGACGACTTGGGCTATGATTAACTTCACATATGACACACTATACTTATTTACATCTCTTCTTTTTTTCTTCATGCTGTTACTAAATAGTATAGCCAGTAACATTAATATTTATTTAAGCCTAGGAGATTACAAGGTTTAATATGTAGAAAGAGATAAGAAAATGCATATGGGAAAAGAAAGGAGCATAGAACCAATGGATTACTGAGAGATGTTGAGATTTTGATAATTAATGTTGAAACATCAAAACATACCCCCTTTTATGCCACAAAGAGATCAAAGAAAGAAGAAAAGGGTCCATATGTACAAAAATATTCATAACTCTTTTTATTGTGGCAAAGAACTGGAAATAAAGGAGGGGCCCAGTAACAGAGGGATGACTGAACAAATTATGTCATATTAATGGAATGGATTATGTCACAAGAAATGACAAAAGGTTTGGTTTGAAAAATCTGGAAGACTAGTATAAACTTAGTTTATAAAGTGAGTAGAACCAGAAGAACAACTTATAAGTTAACAATGCTGTAAAAGACAGTTCTGAAAGACTTAAGAACTCAGATTCCTGCAATGATCAACCACAACTCCAGAGGACCAATGTATGCTACCCACCTCTTGAGAGAAAGAATGGTGGACTGGAGGTGCATAAAGAGAAATACATTTTGGGGCACGGCAAATTTGTAGATATTTTGCACAACTATGCTTACATGTTACCAAAAATCAAACAAACCATATCCCCTGAATATCTTAGAACCTGGAATGAGAATGAATAAGGAAAATGAGCTAGTAGCAGGTATATAGAAGTGCAAGAACCCACATGGACTGTACATGAGGCTAATCATCCCTAAAATCCCTGTCACATGAGTAATTTAACACTTAAGTCAAACTTCTTCCTCCTCGACCCTCTTCTTTCAATACCAAAACTTCAAAAGTTCTTTTGAGGCCCATCTCCATGACCTAAAGCCCTTTGAGAAATAAAATCCTCACTGTACAGTGACAGAATTTCAAAAATAAAACTAAAATGTCCCTGGTTCACAGATTCCCCCAAATCTCATAGGGTCCTCATTTAGGATTTACCAGAGGCTACCATTCTAGCAATAAACTTTAGCAATAGCCTTAGGAAAGACAGTTCTAATGACTGTATTAACTCTGCAGCCATTCCAGCTGAAATCCCCAAAATCCAGTTACGTTCCCATCTGAACAGGGCTAGGAACATAACATTTTATGATAATTTTTCCTGTTTCCTTAAAAGCACCTTTCATCTCCAACTACTTACCATTCTACCATAAGGGGGAACTTCTCTTTGACTGTCCTGTTTGGATCAATCTCAATTGGGTAATAGTAGTGAAGGAGATCCTTTAACTGAAATACCAGAGATGAGAGGAAAATAATTACAGCACAATTAAATTCAACAATTTAATAAGTATTCAATAATAGCCTACTGTGTGTCATACACTGCCCTAAACATTGGAGAATGCAAAGACAAAAACAAAAAAAGGGCCTTTCTCAAGGAGATTAGATTCTACTGAGAGAAAACACATACACTGATAAGTAAATGTGAAATATTTGCAAAGTAAATATAAAAAAAATTAAGTGAAGGGAAAGCACTGACAACTAGTGGGAACAGGAAAGGATTCCTGTAGTTGGTATCTACAGATTCCAAGAGGTAAAGGTTGAAGAAAAAGCACTCCAGGTATGTAGGGCAGACTGTGCGTACAAAGACATGGAGATAAAAGATGGAACAACAAGCAAGTAGGATTAGTTTGTCTGAGGAAGAGTAATGTGCAATCTGTCTAGGAAGATTAGAAGCAGACCACAAAGGCTTTAAGTGTCAAAAAGGAGTCTTTCTGAGCCTAGAAACAATTAGGGAGCCCAGAAGCTTTTTGAGCTAGGCAGTGAAATGGTCAGACAGCAGAGTTTACAGCAATTTTAACCACCACAACAAAAAAGCCCACAAATTAACATAAGAGGTTATTATTATAAACAAAAATTAATTTGGAGCAGTTTCTATTCAATTCTTTCTAAAGGTGTCATTTGGTAAAGCTTACTTACACTTTCAAAGTCTCTCCTTATTCCCAGTTAGATTTTCCCTCCATTACAGGTAAGCCTGTCATATTGAATTCCTTAGTGCTGATTCTTATTTACAAATTTGATAAAAGCTGGGGGCAGCTAGGTGGCGCAGTGGATAGAGCACCAGCCCTGGATTCAGGAGGACCTGAG